TGTTGCTTTTGGAAAAAAAAAAAAAAAATATATAAATAATTATTTCAGAAAAACATTGCAGTCTCTTATAACACAGAAGATGTAAGGAATGAATCAATGTATTAGAGCAATGAATTTTAAAATGAACTGCAAACAATGGGGTAAAAACAGAAAGGTCAGATTTACTGACTCAGAGTAGTGCTTTCTTCACTAACAATAAAGGATGTTCACTTTAATATTGAATTCTCAGGGTGGTGGTACTATCATATAATACCATACTAAGAAGGACACCATTTATATATATAGTGATTCCTTAGTAAGTATTTTTATATCTGGTGGTAGAAAAAGTCTATCAAGAAATGTGAATTGCTTAGAAATTGCTACTCTATTTTTCAACTTTGCTTCAACTATTGAGTTCCTGAATTCCACCTACCATTTATGATGCCCATAATTTGTGAGAGACTTTATGGACAATTTGATCACAAGGTCCCTATTTTTTCTTTTGAAAAATACTCTTTCTTGGGATTTTGTGAATACATAAATTAGATGTGCTTTCTCTTGAAAATCATCAAATACTTTGTTTGGTAGTGTCTACTCTATGAAGTACCACTTGTTCTTAATTAAAATTATGGAATTAGTCTTTTGCTGTGATTTAAAGTCCTTTACCTAGTGTCCTATGTTTTATGATAATTCAGAGGAAACATTTATAAAGATAACTTCCAGGTAGTTACTAACTAACAAAAATTACTGTGCTAAGTAGGAGTTTCTTGTGTGGTGCTGCGGGTTAATGTGATAGATTGCAAAGTTTGTTTGAACTGCAAGTTCAGCCATTCAAACTCACCAGCTGCTCCTTGGAAACCCTATACCTGGTGCTGTGTGTCAGAACCTACTCTATAGCACTTAGCAACAACAAAACAATAGTTGAACAGATATTTTGAAAAGGTAGGGTCTTATTTCTTATTTAAGTTGTGTATTTATGGTCTCTTTAGAAATATTAATAATTGAACAATATAGAAGTTATGAGGTTCAGAATAATTAGAGTTTTGAAAGCCAGGAAGAATGTGCACAAATAAAGCTAATGGGGACAAAAGGTCAACTCACCAGCAAAAGAAAATGTAATTTTAAGATCTGGATAGAAGCAGGTCAACAACCTATAAAAGGTTGTCTTAATATTCCACAGGTTTGATGGGATAAAACATTTCATTTATGGTACAAATAAAAAGATGTGTGTGCGTGCGTGTGTGTGTATGATATTCTAAAGTTATTTTCTGCATTTTTGATGGCAGAATTGAGCAGTAAATTGTTATTGTTGTTGTTGTTAACTGTCATGGAGTCAGGTCTGACTCATAGCGACCCTGTATAGGGTTTCTAAAGAGCACCTGGTGGGTTTGAAATGCCAACCTTGCGGTTTGCAGTCCAGTGCTGATCCTACAGTGCCATATCAGGAATCCTAGCAGTAAATATTAGATCTATATTCTTTTGAGGCCCATGCGACCTATATTTATACAAGGCCACTATTGAAAAACAAAGTTCTGAAAAAAAGTAATGCCAGTGAACAGAGATACAAAATTCTGTTCTGTAACAGTACAGAAAATCTTCCATGCCTATGTTATTGTAATATCAAGAGACATTAGGAATACTGGAGGGAGGGAGGGGGAAGGATGACACACGACTATCAAGGGATGGCATAGCACTTCTCTATAAATCAACTAGAATATGAGCAATTAAACCAGAGATCTGAAAACTCTTAGTCTACCCTGTATACTACTTCCTTAAGTAAACAATTAAGTTGCAGAAGCAAAAAGAGAACTTAATACCAAGATTTTATAGCCTTGTTGTAAATAGCTGAAATGTTTTATGAGATGTGTGGGTGGGAAGATAAGTAATATTTCACTTTAACTAAAATTATAGAAAAAATAGATTTGTATGTACAAATTTGTAATGATAAATATAAGGTATTAAAAATAGCATTAAATTAAATGAACTAAAGATAACTATCATTATCTTTGGGAAAATAAGCATAATTTACAGCAATTTTTTATATAAAACTCTGCAATACCATCTAAGAAACAGCTCTCATCTCAGGAACTAAAGCCTAATTGTAAAATTATGGGCCCTGGAAGCAATTTACATTTACTAAACTGTAAAGAAAAGGGCTTTTCATTCACGACAAGACTCATAGGTGACTTTGTGCATGTGCTCTCCATCTAGAAAATAGATGTTGACGTATTGAAAATCAAAATTCTCCCTGAACATTTGTATTATCCTGAAAAATATGGAGCTCAGATTTATTTTCTATCCCAGCTTGGGTATAAAATGCCCAAATCATAAAATAATAACTGAATTATTTTAAAATGTTATAGTGTATCCGTAAGTGTTGCAAATTGAATTTAGTGTTGTACATTGAATTTCATAGCCTATCAAGGAGCTCTGGTGGCACAGTGGTTAATTGCTCAGCTGCTAACCAGAAAGGTAGAAGTTTGAAACCACCAGCGACTTCACAGGAAAAAAGATGTAACAGTCTGCTTCTGTAAATAGTTTTGCAAATCCTATGGGACAGTTCTATTCTGTCCAATAAAGTTACTGTACACCAGCATCTGCTTGATGGCAATAGTTCTTTGATTATAGCCAACTAGATCTTCAGATTTAAAACAATTCTTCTTTATTTCTGCCCAGTATTCTGAAAATGATTTAGTGACATGATTCTTTTGGGCAGTTTTATTTTGTATGTTTATATTTCTATTTCAGTCTTATGAATCATTTAGTTGCAGAATTTATAGCACACAAAATATGTATCAAACTATAGGTGCAGTTCTACATTATAAAATGTATACATTTATTCCTATCCATAAATATTGTGTAATGATTTTTCACAAAGAACTAAGTACTATGTGTCAACTGCTCATGCAGCTGTAGCACATGGAACTGTTTCAGAAAGCATTCATCTTTTGAAACTGTTTCAGCAAGTCATCAGATCATTAGAATATGAAACTCACACACATATACATATGGATGGAGTCCTGGTGTAGTGCTACAAGATAATGCACTGAGCCACAAGGTGAATTTGAAAGGAACCAACTCCATGGCACTAACAACAACAACAAATACATACTTGCAAATTTATTCACCACTAATTGTATTACTTTATTATAAAAGCACTCATATTACTCATCTTTTAAAGAATATATAAATTTATTTCTAGCATATTAATGAAATATTATCAAAGTCAGACTATTTCCAAGATAGTCAAATTATCTTTCATACCACTACTTAACTATATATATGGAAGCTTTGAGATTAATACCTTTAATATTTTCTTGTGAAAACTGAAAATTTTGCTGTATCCTTATAATATGATCATGTTACCTGACCTTTTAAAAGCTAAACTCTGATATATAGATAACAAAAAATGCTGTTTATTGTCTTAGAAATTTTCTTCACTTAATATGGCAGCATTACCTTATCAAAATCTTTTGATCAAAGAGTAAGATGAAATTTCTAAGTTGAAAAATACTGTTGAGGAGCTATTTAGTATAACTGAGCTAGCAGTTTTTAACAAACAAAGTTCTCCTTGTACATTTTTATCATTATCCTTGAAATTCAGAAAGAATAGGAACTGTGTCCTATATTTTAAGTCAAGGTACAGGAAATTACACTGATAAAAGTATTCAAAGCTAAAACAATGGCAAAATGTAGCTTGAAACTTGCCCAACACAATTAAAGGGGAAAAAAAAAAATCTTTGAAAATGATTCGAGTCAGTAATTATTCTGTATTTGTACATGTGAGCATGAAGCATTCCAGCAGATTTTACAAAGAAATGTTTCTAATATTCTTTTTTACTAGTTTTCCTACATTTTAAGCTATGAGGCTAAGTCAAATTTATTCTCAAGTAGAACACAAATTCATGGACCAATGGTCTCTCTGTAACATAATTAGTAAGTAAAAAAGGAACATCTTAGAAACTTCACTACAGAAAAGTTGGGCATACTCACAGGGACAAATAAGTAAGACTGAAGAAATGATACTGAAAGTAGTCATATCGAAGGAGCAGCTAAGCTAATTAAAGCCTATGGTAACAGAGAAGCTAACTTCTAAATTAGAGATTGATATCAATTGTATACAAAAGTTAAGAGCTGGGTTGTTGGAAGACTGTAAGAAGTAGAGGGTGCAATGTTTCAAGGCCAGGTCTTGGTACAAACTAAGCACCAAAAAAATGTGATTTGTTATTATTATTATTTATCCTTAAAAGTA